CAAGCTCCAAAGTATGTACTTTTTCTTCACACAAAGAGTACATACTTTCAGGACATAGTATAAGTAGGTGAATTGGGAATGTGACAATAGTGTGAGATATACCACGGTTTTTAATGATTTACCAAACTTATACACTGGCATTTGCAAGGTGCTTTAGAATGGTATAATCTTAAAACAGTTGAAATGCCATAGTACTTTGTGTTAAGAGATGGCTTATCAATATTTCACTATCATTATCATTAATAAAGATGACCCTTACTCTGATATCCTTTAGAAAATACTTCCTTATGAACCATTAATATTTAACAACTTCTTGTACACGCCATAATTTCCCATTACGCTGGCAGAACCCAGCCAAACGAAGGTCACACTGTTGTCTCTTCCTCTCGTCTAGAAAGTCCGGTAGAGTTCCCTTTTGTTTGTGGTTAATGTGTAGCGGTATCGTGCTGAACTCTGATACACCTCCGGGCAGCCTTGGCATCGGGACTTGAATCTCTGAGTTTGGCTGGGAATGGCTTGGCTACTGATCAACCAGCTCAGGCATGATAAATCCAGACTCTCCCAGTCTTTGTCTTTGATTCTCCGGCTGAACTGGGGTTTGTTTAAGTGTGCAGTGTGGCAGAAGTGAGCTGCGTCACTGCAGGCTGGTGTATGTGAACTGGAGGCAGTAGAGTCACATGGTTTCTCCTCTCCAGTCAGACATCCACGTTTGAGCGGGCGTAGGTGGCCCCGCTCTCAAACAGGCTGCTGGCAGATGGCGTTTTGTTGGAGCACTGAGGACTCCAAAGTGGGATTGACTGGGAGAACTATACAGACATCCACGTTTGAGCGGGCGTAGGTGGCCCCGCTCTCAAACGGGCTGCTGGCAGATGGCGTTTTGTTGGAGCACTGAGGACTCCAAAGTGGGATTGACTGGGAGAACTATGTATATTGTATGTTGTGCATCTCTTTAGTGTAAAGTATAAAAGCAGCCTTAAAATTACTGTTATTGGTTGCGGAAAGCATTTTTAAATTAGCCAAAATATATAATAAACAGGCAAGTGAAATACGTTATTGTGAATGATGGCTGTGGAAAACTGTGGATTCAGTGCAGCCCTAGTCATGATGTCCTTTTCTTAAATCGCTTTTTACAACTGATAAACTGAAGCTCACTATATTGACTTTTTTTTGGGATAACATGTCACTTTTAGAGCGATTACATGTCTATATCTATTACTATTAGGGATGGGTCACGATTTTCGAATATTCGATTAGTTGATTTAATTATAGAATATCGAATAGGTTTTGCGATTATTGTCTTAAAAAATGTCCTCATGTTTTCCGTGCTGATGCGGTGGTGACACATTCATGTAAGCAGAGGGTTGTGCTGCCAATAATGCACTTAAAAGCTGTCAAAGACAACAGAAGAACACATTGTCTCACGCGCACACTGTAGACTTGCGTGGCATTAAAAAAAAGACTTGCGTAGCATATAACGGTTACAGTAACTTGGAATGATGTCAAATAAGAGTTCTGTGCGGACCACAAACACCCCCGACTGGGTTAGAGGTGTGGCTGAATCTGTATTCAGAAAATCGCGGAAAACAAATAACGCGTTCTACGGAGCCACTATAGGGACATGGATAGCCGCTTGCTAGCAGTAGCCTGTTACATTACACAATACATAATATTTCACTTACCACATAAACAGAATAAGGAGAGATGATGGCGAATGATTTGCAGATCCTGAGCGCCACTTAACAGTCTTAAATTCAATAAGCAGATATGTGCTGTGGTTAAGTCTTGTTTCTATCATCTTCGTCTTTTATCAAAGTTTAAGCCCTTTTTGTCTGCTAAGAACTTTGAAACTGCCATGCATGCATTTGTAACATCCCGATTAGACTATTGCAACTACGGATGTGTCCAAATAGTAAATCCGAATTCGGAAAGGCACAGAAAATGAATAACGTGTTCTACGGAGCCACTATAGGGACATGGATAGCCGCTTGCTAGCAGTAGCCTGTTACATTACACAATACATAATATTTCACTTACCACATAAACAGAATAAGGAGAGATGATGGCGAATGATTTGCAGATCCTGAGCCCCACTGACAAACATCTAATCTTGTAAAATGTGTGGTAAGTACTGCCGAGTTCTGCTCCGTACGTGTGATCGCGAATCTCAAAAGTAAAAAACAAGTTCATGAGAAATTTCAATGCGCCGCATATTAATAACGGTTCCCTGATGCCCGCAGTTTATATACAGTATAATTACCTAATGATATAATTGCGACAGAAGATATCGAAGTATATTTTTCCTCCCATCTCGTATCTATTCCCTTTAGGGGTTCCATTTTTTTAAATGGAAATGTCCTTATGAGCAGTTGGCTTATGCTAATTCATGGACTGTTATGTTAATAAGTGCCGTCATTCGGTTATGTTTATTATATTAATATGTTTCAGCACGTTACAATCATTATATGGCTTGAGTTAAG